TTCCTTTATCATATGGAAAATAGGGTAATATTTTTCTTAAGTCAATTAAGTCTCTATGCACCAAGAAATTTTTGACAGATATGACATGGAGAAGACTAAAATCAAATTAGCTCATATTAAGTAATATTTAAGGAACAATAATAATCAAGAGTATATCAAAAGGATCTCTTAGTATTTACAAGAGTTCAGTCAAATATTAATTGACCTCACAGAGATAAACATTGCCAATTTATCTGCATTAATATATTTCTTTTTTCTTAAGGTGATTTAATAGTTTTAGATACATTTTATTGTCTGGCTAAAAGGAAAGTCATTAGCTTTATTCAACAAATTCTAATAATACAAGAGATTGATGAAATATATGACTCAAAATAATTATTGAAAATGTACTTTCAAGTTTACAAAATGTCAACACACATTTATGTAGCTCTACCACAAAATTAAAGATATGAAACACATAAGATCTTCATAGTACCATTAAATTCTTACTATTAATAGGAACAGCAGTAATAATATAAAAACTAGTATCTGCTAAGAAATAAGTCAGGAAAGGTAATAATGTCTAAATATTTTTATATTTTTTTACTTAAAAGATAAGCAAGGGATAAATCTAAATATCTTTTATATTTGTTAAAAACTTGAAACAGGAACATGATTTGTGACATTTTATCCCATTAATTTCATTTATAAATGTGTTGGTTTACCCTCAAACATGATTTTTCATTCCTGTAGATAGACCATTTTGCTCAGAGCTGAGAAAGGAATTAGACAGATAAACAATTTCTTTGCATTAGCTCTTCTTCTTAATTAAGTGTATAATTTCGCTCTCCTACAGTCTCTCTCCAAATACTATTGATTTCCTCAGGTGTCAGGCAATGGTGAAAGTCCATGTACCTAACAAAGTTATCAAGTGCTGCACATTTGTGTTCCTCCAGGGCATTCAACCTTTAGGGCTTCCATGTGTTAACTGCCTTAGTACATGGAAATGGCTAACAAAGGGCTGAATTCACTTTCCATACAGATTCTCAACCTAGCCATTGATTTTCAAATGTAGGAGTACAAAAACTATGTGAATTCTTTGGCCCATCATACACAGAGTATGGGCTTCACAAATGATATTTAGATACATAACTACGAACATTTGCAATGGCTGGATACTGAGTGATAGTTCATCTTAACTTCTTAAAATTGGAAACAAGTGAGTTTTGGGGTCAATCAGCATCATTTTATTTGTTCATTACTTACACTAAGTGAATACACTTAAATCTTGAGAATGAAATTTTATTTTTTGGATTTATATTCACTATAGTCAGAAAAATAATTTATTTACCTTAGCAGCTTTTTATTTGTGATCTCTACAGATGGCATACCCACGTTGGCTTTCATATTACTTGGGAAGTTCCATTTAGGTACCCCAGAGATTTCATTAACAGAAAATTACAGAAGCATATCTCACAAGAGTCCTTTATAAAAATGTATAACCACAAGTTAAATTGCAGTTAACAGCTTAATGATGCTATTATTGGAATTTTAAATATGGAGAAAACACTATTACAATTCAGTTCCCAGTCAGATGATTGTGTTGTATATTGCTTATTGTTGTCTTCAAGGTAGTTGCTCAGATTACAAAATATAAGCAGAATAAATAAAGTCCATACTGTACAATAGATACTATGAAATAAGAAGAAACTGTTCAAAAACAAAGAGAAATTATGAGGTCATAAAAGACAAAGAAAAAAAGAGAAAAGAAAAAAAGGTATATGTACATACAGAAGATTCTTTTAAAGTGGATATTGATATAGTTATGTTAATATAAGATATCTATGTAGTCAGTTTTAACTGATAGTTTTTTATGTATTTAGTACAGGGTGTATAGGGTCTCACGGCATAGATTGGACTCATAGTGATTCTCTTGTTTACAGCTTCTCAAGTGCTGGGATTACAGGTGCACAACACCATACCAAGTCTCAATCACAGTATCAGCATGCCCTGGAGGTGGAGCCTACACGTTGGGCCAGAGATCAAACTCTGGCCACTGTGCTCTTTCACTGATAATTCCTGTGTCATCAAATCAGGAGAGATATTTTAATTGGATGGGGATGATATAGACATAAATATAGGTATAAGATTTAAATCATCAACTGGTAGAACAACAGCAGTACTCAAAATTTCTCAATGCTATATCATCTAGATCAAGTTATACATCTCAGGAAGAGGGCTGAGATTGTAGCTCAGTGGTGTATGCCTAGTAGGTTGGAGGCCCTGAGTGTCTCTCTCTCTCTCTCTCTCTCTCTCTCTCTCTCTCTCTCTCTCTCTCTCTCTCTCTCAGAATATAAATCATTCCATAACATCAATTCTAAAATACAGAGACTATTTCTCACATTTGACATCAAAGACTAAAAACATGAGCATGAAACACATGAATAATTCATTTTAATAATAGGAAAACAAAAAATACTGCAAAAGAATGCAGTCATTTTCCTGATGGTGAGCTTGTCAAACCTTTAGTATAATACATAATCATTCATTTATCTGGGTACCAAAGATACAACTGAATATCTATTCTGTCGTCTAAGCACTAGGAAAATAGCAAAGCCTAGGAATATTTGCAGAACCCATGGTATCCCATGAGGGTGAAATGTGGGTCTGACAATATTCCATGACTGTGGTTATATTTAACCACACATGTATAAATCCACATATCCAACCTGGTGCTATCAGTCTGCAAAGTTGGTCATCAAACACATTGTGAAACGGAAGTAATCTTAGGAATTTATACTGGAACTAAGCCAATATAAGCAATACAAGGAGAAGGTCTAAAGCAAAAGCGAGATGCATGTAACAGGAAACAGAGTGCATAACACACTTGTTTAAATTCTGCATCTTTTTCTAAGATACTATTGAGATCAAGTGTTTTGTTATATTCAGCTTTATGCCTCTGACAGAGTATACTTTTTGAGCACATTTAATATTCCTTAAACTAAATATTAAATAAATCAATTGATATGATTTATCTAACGCTGAATGCATATATCTGTAAGAACCACAGATAAATAATAAAACATACACTAAATGAATTATACTTCAAAGTGAAATTCAAGGGATACATGAAAACAGAAATAAAACAATGGAGAAGTCTATTAGAATAAATAAGATGGAATTGTTAGAATAGTTTGATATATGTTTCAAAAATAGAGTTCAAAGAACACTGAATTCAAGTAGAAAAAAGATTGTAAAATGAAAGACGTGATACTATTGTCTACTGATTATACATTGTAATTTTATTGTCAGTGATAAAGCTACAGCAGAAACATACAAATGCTGAGGAGGTTAAAGAAATTGGGGGCCTCAGATGAACAAAGACTTTTGTAATTAATGAATTGAAAATTGAAGTGCAAATCTGGAGTACAGCGAACAACTTTGGTGGATGGTAATCACATAAGGAATTCATTTATGTGCAGTTTGAGGTAATAAATGTAAGAGAAGGAGATGATAAAAAAGCAACCCATACTCTTAAGCTCCACTTTTATTTCTTCCTAGTTTGCTTAGATAAAAAATCAGCAAGCTACAGAAGAGGGGAAAAGTGAAATCTGATGATGTTCCAATCCAAAAGATTAGAAAAAAACAAAAAAAAAATCTGAAAAAGTGATTAAAAACACAGATTTACATACTTTCTCATAGGCAAATTCCATCCTGCAGTGTTAATGTTATGTGAAGATAACATGATTCAATTGATGGTCTTAGTTTAAGAGTTTAAAAGGTCAGTATAGGATGAAAGACCTAAAGCAAGACTGAAGATGGAGAAAATAATGTGTTTTTTTTTTCAAATGTAAATTTTCTGTATTGACAGATGCTGTCCTTTCTGGCTGGCTTTGTAAAGTGTCAGTGAAAACTGCTATATGGTAATATTTTCCTTTTGTATTAAAGACCAAACTCAGTGCCTGAAGTAAAGGAAAGTACAAGCATGTTGGAAAAGACAGTGTTGAGCAAACTGTAGAGAAATTATGTTCTGATCTTGATTCAAACAAAAAATCCATACAAACTATAAATGTTGAGTTTCCTTCATGAAACATAATTCTGAAACAGAAAATGGAAAACAATATTCTATTTAGAGAAAGTTGCACATATGAAAATAATTCAGTATCATATTATATGAAAAATGTGATCTTTTAAGTTGTGGGTGGTGGATATTTTGTCCCAGCAACAAGAAAATAATTAAGTCATATTTGGGTACCAGAGAAGTGAGGGTCATTGCTGTGAAACTATCTGATCAAGTCATTCAGAAATCTTTGGAAATGGCTTGTGGGAAGAATTTTAAAAGCTTTGGAGATGCAAGTTGAAGAAGTCCTGATATCCTGTGTGTATAAATTGATGAGAGATTTGGGTCAGAGTTTCAAAAAGCAGAATGCTGTCATAAATGTACCTGGCAAATATCAGGATCTGGATTTCATAGTTAGAATAAGGACTGCATTGACTGTTGCACTCCAGACCATGTTTATGAATTGGAAGAAAATTTGTCTGAATTTTGCTCAAATCCAGAGACATTGCAGGAGATTAAGGAGACATCTAACTAATTAATTTGGCTAAAGAAATTGCAAGGAAGCTGAAGGTGGAGGTGATGCTCAGCTAACGTTGGGGGCTTTGGGCAGATGTATGTTGAGAATCAAGAGAAAAGGTCCAGCAGATTCAAAAAGTCTTAAATTTGTCTAGAAATAAATTTCCAGTAAAGTTGCTTCCTGGAAAGATGAAAGAGAAGAAATCAGTTTCTGAAAAAAGCAAAGAACAGTAGAAGAGGACAATAAAAGAAGATGGCCTCAAAACCACCAGCAGGATTCCATCCTTGCAGCCTCAAAACTGTATAGGTGAAAGACTTTTCTTTGAGAAGAAAGATGCAGGACACCATGTTCCAAAATGCTGGTGACCTAGAAAATTTATTCAGCAAGATTGGAGTCATAGTACTCAGCAATTCAGGGACTCAAAATGTACTGTAAAGAATGAGCACACTTAACATGGCAGGGGAGATGCCATGTTAAAGTGGTTTCCCCAGGTCAAGGTTTATCCACTGCATTGTGGATGGGTAGGCCTGTTCAAGCTCCACAAATGCAGAAACGTGACTGCATAATTTGTGGTAGTGGGGGACTGTAATTGCATTTTCCCCTAAGATTAAAGTAAGTAAGTAAATAGATAAATAAATAGAAAGAAAGAAAGAAGGAAATATGGCTAGTGCTGCAGCTGGCAGCAGATCTTGACATAATACACATGGTATTAGCTTTAGGCACCCAAAGAATGCAAGCATCATAGGGTCAGAAGGCTTCCATCCAAAATTCAGAAAGAGGCCAGTGAACACTGGTTGTATATGCCCAAGAGAGCACTGTGAGAAGTTGAAGTGAAAACCCCAGAAGGTTGGAGAAAATAGGAATGTGGTTTACTGAAGATAGAAGAGGTAAGCAAATCCAACCAGAGGGGCCATGAGTGTGAAAACCACCAGCTTTCCACATGGCTGGAGCCCCACAAGCCCTTTGATGTTCATATTTTACCACACAATGCCTCAGATGATGGCCAGAAAACTGCAGAAACAAATGCTTGTCCTGCTGGACTTTCTCTGCTCTCATTCTTTATTATACCACTTGCTGGTATAACACCACCGACTTGTACTGACTGATAATATTGAATGACAATATTCAAAGCCCCATTGAATAATAATATTCAATGGGAATATTTGTCTTCTGTTACTGTATACTGGAAGTGTTCAATTATTTTTTATTTCAACTGTAGCTCATACCTAAGAGTTTGCCTTTAAACCTCAGAGGACACATTTGGCTTGAACTTTTCAAGCATATCAAAACTGTAATTCGACCACTTTTGGTTGTGGACTCAGAGCCTTTTGCATGAAAAGATGTCCACAAGTTTTGGGGACTCAGGTGTGGAATGTTATGGCCTGTTTGTGAATATTCCACCAATGTCTCATGAGTTCATAAGTGAGGCTTTACAAAGGTGGCTGGATATAGGACGTGCGTTAACTATGAATTAATGGTGTGTGAACTAACTCTGCCCATTGATGGGTTTAGGTAGCTCTGGATGTGGATAATGAGAGAGTGGATATGGGTGGCACCAACCAATAGGCTTGTGTTTTGAATGAAATAAAAGCAAAAATGAAGTTCACTGCTTCCTGTTGTCCCCTGTATACCAGGCTAGGGACTATTTCTCCTCTCTCATAGTCCTCTTCTGCCTTGGCACAAACTGAAGATGTATGGAAACCTCTGCAAACCGTGAGCCAAAATAAACCTCCTTCTTCTTCATTATTTTTTGGGTTTTAGCTCCATTATTTTTTGTATCAGCAGCAAGAAAATAAGTAAGACAGTCTTTCAAAATTTATTCATGTGTGATATTGAATTTAACCTCTTAATTTTTTTCTTCTTGTAATTAGTATAGGGTCTCACTACATAGATTGGACTCCTAATGATCCTCCTGTGTTCAGCCTCCCAAGAGTTGGAATTACAGGCGTGTGCCTCCACACCCAGTCTCAATTTCCCTCTCAGAGTGCCCTGGGGGCAGGGCTGGCACAGCACCCTGGGGACCCAACCCCTGCTTTAATCTGCTGACCCATTTGGTCAGCCCTCAAACCTCTTAACCTTATTAGAATAAATTTTTCCATTGGTTAAACACTGATTTGAACACTTTAATTATAGATGGTTATTAGTACTTTATCGATTGTTTTCTGTTAAATAGTTACCTTTATCTTTTTAATATTGGTTTAAATGTTGAATTAATTCTGTAAATCAAATATCTCTATATACTTCTTTAAGTTTTTCTTAATGCAAATGTTATGGGACTTTGAATATTATTATTGAATATTACCAATAATATTTTCAAGCATAAAATATTTTCCCAATATTCTTATCACATATTAACTGATGCAATTAAAAATATTCCTTCCTTATTAACAATGCTTTACTAAATAAAACCAAAATTATTCTAAAATTTTCTTCTGAAATTAGTAAAACATATTTTCTAATTTTTATTCTATGAAATACAATATATGCTTTATTTTTTTCCTAATTAAGAAAATATTTTCAGAGCTGAGGGTATAGCTCAGCCTCACAGTACTTGCCTGTTAAAAGAGAGGACCTGAGTTTGATGCCTGAGTCCAAAAGAAAAGAGAAAGAGAGAGAGAGAGAGAGAGAGAGAGAGAGAGAGAGAGAGAGAGACAGACAGAGAGAGAGAGAGAGAGAGAGAAGAGGGAAACCTAAAATACTTTCAAAAAATGTCCTTTTATATTTTCCCATTTGCTCTTTCTATTTTTATTTCATCTTCAATTTGTTATAATAGTATTTGTTTGCAGGAAACGTAAAAATATGATCTAGACTTACCGACATCACGTGAAGTTTCAGAGAAGTCTGATGTTGCTGTGGCAGGTTCACAATGAAGACTTTTACCTTATTTCTCAAATGTCCCCAGTTGTAAGGAGCAAAAATAAAATCTAATTAAATTTTGTTCCCTTTTAAAAAGTCTTCATGGTCTGAAATCCATACATCCTGATCAACATTACATTGACAGTGATACAGTGTAGGCCATATCAAGTTACAAGAAAAATCATCTCAGGAAAGTTATCCAGACACATTGGCCAAACAAAAATTGATGTTAACAAAAAAGAAGAAAATAAAATCCTTACCATACATGTAAATAAGTTTCTTCCACAGAATTGAAAGATTCAGTTTCAAGGAATACAATACATAAAAAATAAAACTTTGAAAACCCAGCTAAAAGAAGGTTTCACCTTAGAAAAAAAGTGTTTCATACACAAGAATTATACATAATATAGTAAGTGCTCTTTACTTCATAATACTTTATCAAGAAGAAGCAGAGGCATACAATCAATCCAACAAATAATTAAGCTCATGGTATGGATCATGCCTCCTTCAGAAAAAGTTCTTGAAGAATGCTTATTGTTTGAAGCACAGCTTAGCTCTTAAATTAGATGAATACATAAAAAATAATGACATAAATCTTGGCCTTCGGTAAGGTTGAGTTTAGGTCACTGAGAAAAGACTCAGACAAATATTCACAAATAATTATAGTATGGTGGTATAAGTGAAGGGAGTACATATAATGTTCTACTGGAACACAGAAGGACAAATGATTTATTCTCACTGACAAATGGGGGCAGGTCAAATAAATTAAAGATAATAAGGACCACATAGCACAGCAATTCTGCAAAGGGGTCAAGGTTTTTCAAAGTGTGGCTGGCAAAAACTGTTCATTTTTATTGCATATGTATGTAGACATGGATACATAAACTTTTCAAAAGAACCTTCAAGACTGCAATTTTGAAAAATAGATTTTATGTTCTGTATTCACTGACCCATTAAATTGTCTTCCATATCCCCATAAGTTAGTTTATCATATTTATAATTTGAAGAAATTTCTGAAGAGTCACAAGATATCATTGTAACATTAGAAATGATAACTCCATGGCTAAGATGACACTAGAAGGCTAGCACATAATTTTGGGCATGTGGCTTTGGCCAATAGTTTCAGTCAATTTTTGTATTCATGCAGTAGCAAACAGAAACACCAAAATGACACCTAGGATTTGGAGGCATAATTTATTTAACATCACAAGTAGAGTGGTAGGGAATCAATTGCCCCTCAAAATGTCGGGCTCTGTAGGTTCAGGGAGGGAGATTTGGTTGGGATCTGAAAGGGAAATACAAAGACAGAGTACTTGGCTGTCTTTTTTATTTATTTATTTATTTATTTATTTATTTATTTATTTATTTATTTATTTTAGGTAAGGTTTACAGGGTGTTCAGGGTTTCACTACTAGATTGGACTCATAGTGATCTGCCTGTTTACAGCCTCCCTTACAGGCATGTGCCACCACACCCAATCTCAATCACCAGCTCAGCATGCCCCGGGGGCGGGGCTAGCACAGCAGGCTGGGGGATAGAACTCCCAGTGCCTGCACAGGCACTTTAATCTGCTGAGTTACTTGGCGGGCCTTTGATTGTCTTTGATTCATTCTTTTTTCTTTTTTTAAATAATTTTATTGAGAAACAAATGGCAGTGAGACAGTCTCAAAAACCTATTACTAGCACAGTTTCAATAATGAATGCATTGTGTATTGTTGTCTTAGTGGTTATTCACTATACAAGATGCAGACATGATATCCTGTCCACAAACACTATTAGAACAAATCTCTCTATTCATTGAATTAAGAGAATGAGCTGTATATCTATCCTAACTATTTTGAATACAGAGATACAAAATGGTCATTCATTTGTATCCCATTTTTGTTTAATTTTGTCAGAGAGGGGTATTCCATTGTCATTTAAATATTACAGGTCCGTAAATTCAGCAAAATATTCCAATATAGTCGAGTAGTCCCTACTAGTAGTGGGTTTTCCATAAGACTGGCAATGTCAGAAGTTGTTGACTTGAATCTTTTACAGCTCAGCATATTAATATGGCTTTACTTTTATACTTTGCTTTTATACTTTTCTGCTGAATGGTTAAGACCAAGATAAAACAAGACCTATACAACAAGAAATATAACTTTTGTATCTGAAAAGTTCACTCAAATCCCCTCAGGACTTATCCTGAAACCCTGTACCACAGTTTATTCATTCTGATAGTACGATTATAGTAACCAACTATAAATCAAAGTGACCTACCATTTCTAAGAGTGAGAAGCAACCAGAACTGCAAAAGGTACTATTACCTGAGCAACTAGGAACCATAGTACACTGGCTGAGGTGGGTGGGAGGGGGAGATGACATCACTTCCTGTTCATTAGAAGATGTAGAACACCAGTATCAAATGGGTATATGAATTCTCTAGTTGCGTTTTCTCTTTATCAATATTTCACCATTGTATACCCTCCGTCTCAAACTAGCATCCACAAACTCCAAGTTCATTATTCATTCATTTGACTAATACTACATGGAATATGTGAGGAGCATTTGGGAAAAGTTCTTCACAACATCTTTTGGTTTCATTTAACTTCAAGAATAAAAGAAGATTCCTTTTCTCCTAGGTCTAGTTATCATTTATGTGCAGAGAAAAAAAATACGTTGATAATATGTTGTGTATTTTAAAACCCTTACCGTAAACTTCTAAAATGCTACATGATTATCTTTCACAGTTTTTTTATTATTTAT